CCTCACGTGCCAGCCGCCTCCGGCCTGTCCCCTATTTAAGCCCCGGAGGAAATGGTAAATTCTGTACATCTCTAGAGAAAAAGAGAAAAGAAAAACACGTGTATGTGGAGAGAGAGCGTGTGTGTAGTCCAGCGTGTGTGATTGCAGAAGGAAACTCTCTGCCAATATGTGAGATTTCCCGCCTGGTATCTCTCTTATCTGTGGCAGCGTGGCTTCTGTGGGCATTTCATCACTCACGGTCGCACCAGCCTATGCCAACTCAAGCTTGTATGTTCCGGCCTAATGAATACACGAAATGTAAAAGAGTGTACTGCCTCAGGTCTGAAATCTTGAATTGCTGCCAGCTGGGCAGCAACTCGTGAGTGAGCTCCATGCGGTGCACGTGGGGGCTGCGTTAAGAGTGTGGTTAAACAGAAAGGAGGCTACTAAGTGCCTTTTAATTCCAGATGTCTTGGTCCCAAGTTTGCCTTGTGAGAGGTCATTTTGCTCAGTGGTGAGTAGGTTGTGGTTCGTATCTCAAAATACTTATGTATTTATCACACGTAAGCATAGCTAGAAGGTAATTCAGCAGCGCCTTCAATAGCAAGCAAGATTCTGAAGACAGTAAGTAGGCTGTGGCAAGCAGCAGGTAAGGCTTTGCAGCACAATGACTGGTCGAACTAGGTTATGCTAGGCATATCTGTTTGACCGGGACAGTTCGGGTCATCTGGCAAGTGTATCAGTTAAATTGTAACCAGGATCCTTAAAAATTAAGATGTGAGAGGGCTGAAGCGATCTCTCATCAAAAGTGGGGACACCGTTGACCTTTTGTGCTTGGAGCACTGTGGATGCCATCCTCTGGGAAAACTGGTGGTTCAGTAAAAAGGTTACCCCAGACTGACAAAGTCAGGCTCTTAGAGAGGAACACCTGCATCGCATCCTGTCTCTGCGGATGATTTGTGGTAAGTGTACCTTCAAGATGGTACAGTACCTACACCAGAATGCACAGCACAATTTCTCCCTTTTAAAAATTATAAAGAACAGGCACGTAAAGAGCAGAGCAAAAAGAAAATGCTGAGAGCTGTTTTCAAAGAACACAGGCTCTGTAAAAGAAGGCAGGGATTAGCAAGGCAACTATCATTAAATGTTGTGTCTTGAACAAATGTTACTATTTTTCTGGCCTTCCTACAACAGAATCCACCCTTTAAAAAGATATTTCATAAAATTAAATTCATGGAAGTGGGAGAAACACAACCTTGCAGGCATGCTTGCACTTCTTAACCGGTGATTTTAGTGTTCCTTTCTCCCGAAGCTCTGACTCCTCTCCAGAAAGAACTCCTTTCCTTTCCCAACTCTTGTGCTTGCCTTTCAGTTCCAGCCTAGGTTCTACAAGTTAGGGATCATGCTTGTAAAATGCCATTCATACTGTAATATGAATAATGAATATGTCACAGTAATAATCTTACTCGGACATTGTTGCCCACCTGAAGGGACTGAAGATTGCTGAGGATCAAAAGGGTAAGGCTCTGGAACAGCCCTCTGGTGGGTATGGAGGCAAAATATCTACATAGCTATCGGGCTCGATCAGCATGTGTGAAATTATAAAAAATTGTATTAAACG